AGAAATGGGTCAAGGGGATCATGTCTTCTACCGATCAATGATCACAGATTCTAATAGAAATACTAATCAGCGGATGCCTTGACTTTCACTTTTAAAGCTCGTGCTCAGTGTCTAGTTTGGTGTGGAGCTGAATGTATTTGCTTAGGCAAATTCTGCTGCAATGACCTTTTTTAAACCGATGACACTTCAATCTCTATCCAGTAGAGGGTGGTGTTGTCTTGGAACAGAGCTGTGTGGTGTGAACATTAGAAAGGTTTTTGTTGATTACTGATTAGTGCTACAAAATGGAAAATTCAGGACTTCGCGGTGTGCTTAATGAAAACTAATTAAAAGGAAGCTTAAAAAGGTTTCTTCCACTATAGCTCCTGTTTTGTTTTTATTTTAATCTACATTTTGAGAAAGATAAAGACTGGGCTCTATTATGACGGCCCATGCGCAAAACGGAGGGCGCAGGACGCAAACGCATTCAGGGTGTGTCAGAATCCATGGGCCCTATCATACACCTGGTGCAGTGTGACGCAGTAGTTTTTTGGTAGTTTCAGCTTGGCGCAAGAGTCGTTTTGAGGCGTTGCGCTACGCTGTTTAAATCGCAAATGCATTAGCGCTCATTTGTGCACCCATAGGCGTTCTGAGGCGCACTGCTGGCGTGTTGCTATTTTGAGAAACTAAAATAGATTTTTCATTAATACGCACAAGAGAGCAATAGGCAAATATCTTTACATATGAAAAAATGTAAATATTAAGGATATATATAGGATATAATAAGAATAGATATTGGATATAAATATAAAGGATTAAAATTTTACAAAACATTATTTTCTAGCCTACATAAATATGAAAAATCACTGCTTTCATGTCTTCTTCATCTCGGGAGGCTTTTTCAGTTCATTCATAACAATTTGCTTTTGTATAATGTTATTATTATTAGCAGTATTATTTATTATATCCATATTTATATTTGTTTTATTATAAAACAAGCTTACAGGTCAGGTTGTCAGGTTTAAGACCATATGGGGCACAGCATGTGTTTTATGATATAACTCAGGTTTTTGAGCACATTTTGTTATTATTGTTAATTTATTCGTTTGCTGGAAATTAGAACTGAATTTAGAAATAGTTTTGAAACGAATATTTGCGCTTAACAAACTAAATTAATTATTTATAGGCTAATTGATGTCTGTGCTTAAAGGTTTCCCTATCCACGAGCGAAAATGAAAGTAGATAATTTATCTCTCATTCTCATGCAGTAGATGCTCTGTTTAACAGTTTTCTGTTAAAAAACTGTCAACTGTTAACTGTTTGCTTGTGAAATGCTCATTTTTTCTACTTAGACTTACTTTGCGTCCTGTAAATAGCGAATGCGCTCTTTGAGCTACACAGCTGGCTCTTAAAGGGAATGGGACATGAGACTCTAATTGGTTTATTCTTAAAACACACCTATAACTCATTAAGAAAATAAACTCAACCCTTTTAGACCATGCGCCTTGGCGCAAGGCAGATTTCCCGTCCTTAAATGAGCAAAAATGTGTCCTGACACGCCCTGAAAACGTTTGCGCCCTGCGTTTTGCGCTCTGCGCATGGACCGTCAAAATAGAGCCCCATATGTGCTAATATGAGGACGGGAAAATCCACTTTGCGCCGCGGCGCATGGTCTAAAAGGGTTGAGTTTATTTTCTTAATGAGTTATAGGTGTGTTTTGAGAATAAACCAATTAGAGTCTCATCTCCCATTCCCTTTAAGAGCCAGCTGCGTCGCGCCAAGAGCACATTCGCTATTTACAGGAAGCAAAGTAAGTCTAAGTGGAAAATCTGAGCATTTCACAAGCAAACAGTTAACAGTTTTTTTTTAACAGAAAACTGTTAAACAGAGCATCTACTGCGTGAGAATGAGAGATAAAGGATCACTTTCACTTTCGCTCTTGGATAGGGAAACCTTTACGCACAGACATCAATTAGTCTATAAATAAATACTTTTGTTTGTTAAGCGCAAATATTCGTTTCAAAACTATTTCTAAATTCAGTTCTAATTTCCAGCAAACGAATAAATGAACAATAATAACAAAATGTGCTCAAAAGGCAGTGATTTTTCATATTTATGTAGGCTAGAAAATAATGTTTTGTAAAATTTTAATCCTTCATATTTATATCCTATATCTATTCTTATTATATCCTATATATATCCTTAATATTTAAATTTTTTCATATGTAAAGATATTTGCCTATTGCTCTCTTGTGCGTATTAAGCAGTGCGTAAGCGAGGCGCAACTCTGTGCTGGAGTTTAGACCGGGTTAGTTTCGGTCTAATGAAAAATCTATTATAGTTTCACAAAATAGCAACGCGCCAGCGGTCCGTCTCAGAACGCCTTCCGTTTTAGACCAGAACGCCTATGGGCGCACAAATGAGCGCTAATGCATTTGCTATTTAAACAGCGTAGCGCAACGCCCCAAAAACCACTCTTGCGCCAAGCTGAAACTAGCAATAGACTATTGCGCCACGCCTTGCACCACACTGCACCAGGTGTATGACAGGGCCCATGTCTGAAACCTGCAGGTGGACAAATCTAAGCTTGCTTTTAATAAAACAAATATAAATATGGATATAATAAATAATATACTGCTAATAATAATAACATCATACAAAAGCAAATTAAATGAACTGAAAAAGCCTCCCGAGATGAAGGATTCAAGGCAGTGGTTTTTAAATTCATGTAGGCTAGAAAATAATATGTTTTGTAACATTTTAATTATTTATATTTATATAATAATATATGAGCCCAAATGCATTTGCGATTTAAAAAGCGTGGCGCAACTCCTCAAAATGACTCTTGCGCTGAGCTGAAAGTAGCAAATAACAATTGCGTCGCGCCTTGCGCCACATTGCGCCGGGTGTATGATAGGGCCCTTCATCTTGACAGTTTGCGGCAGGGGTGTCGTGGAGGGCAGGTGTCCTGCAGATTTTAGCTCCAACTTACCTCAACACACCTGCAAGAATGTTTCTTGAGAGCCTAAGAGCTTGATTAGCTAGCCCAGGGGTGTCTGATTGGGGTTGGAACTAAATTTTGCAGGACACTGGCCCTCCAGGACTGGTTTTAGTATGTTGCTGGTCTCTTGGTTAATGTTAAAATGTTGTTAGCACATATATAAGGATTTACAATATCAGCGATGTCCAGTTCACTTGATAGTTCTGTACAAAAGAGCATGGCCTATAATTTATAGTTGCTACTAGTTTCTCACATTTTACACTACAAGTAGGACATTTACAGTAATTAAGGTCTATATTTAGGTCATGTTATATGTTTTAGATTTTATCTTTCAATATTAAAATTAATTTATTGTTAACGCTGTTTATATTGCAGCATAAAATTACATTGTTGTAATATATAAAAATCATAAATGCTTAAACAATTGTCATTGTTAATGTTAAAATAATATCATTTAGACTTACTACAATACAGAAAGGCATGTTTGTCATTTAAACCTGTACACTAAGTGAGACTGTAAATGTGTATTTATCAGTATATTGGCTTATTGCACTTTAAAGGCAGTGAAAAAAACAAATGCTTTGCTATATAAATGTGAAATTACTGACGACATTTCAGACTTCACTGCATCTGAACTGTTTACACTCTAATAGTAATAATGAAATTATAACATTAAGAAGGAAATATTGTATTATTAATATTATTATTAGATATGTCACTCCACTGACAAACCACCACAATACGCAGTATAATTCCTTAACAAACTCTAGGTGGCAGCACTCTTTAAAAAAATGAAAACACCTATCAAAAATGATGAACAGCCAGTTGAGACAAGCTGAAGGTTTAATAATAAACCAAACAATCATTTCCACATTAATTAAACAAACAGTGCTACACATACACTTGCTTCATCACACTTCCACAGTTCTGTATATTTTTCACCTTAAAATATAAAAATATTCTAATATAAAACAAAGCTGCAGTTACAGCTTTAACTGAAATTCACAACATGCTTGTTAGTACAGTTTAGCATGATTTTAGCATGACAGTTTGAGCATGAAATACATGTTTTTACTAGAAATAAAGCACCATGCAATTAAAAGTTAAAATACATCATATACAGACTATATGACTATAATGATTATGCCTATACATTATTAACATGCACAATCTGAAGTATTGACTAAAATAAAAGGTTATGAATGCATTAATGTCATTAACATATTTCCACAGTCGTTATTATGGAGGTGAGACAATACATCTGGACTGTACATTTTGTAAATACAGAAATACAGGCTTTTTTTCAGGATTAGTAAGAAAACAATTCAGACACTTTCTAAAATCATTTACAATTGAGGCAATTCAGCAGATTTATTTCTCCTGTGTTCTACAGGGAATGTTGTGACTCCTGTAGATGATTTTCTGGATTAAATACTATTTCAGAATACTAGATAAACACACTGTACACCTGCTCTCTGATATATGTGAAGAGTGAATATTAGTCTCAGTGCCTCAATTCAGTCTTTGTCTGATGGGTTAAAGAAGTGACCAAATAAACATTTACTAACATGACAATCTCCTAATGACACTGTGACAGGGTTACTTACATACCAGATTTATTGAGTCACTGCAGGTGGATGTTTTAAGTTAAAATAGCATGATTTTTTTTCTTTTCTGTTTAACTTTGTGTCTCAGTTTAATTTACACTGTTGGAGCTGATTTACAGTACAGTGATTTACATGTAACAGAGTTGAAAAGATATTATAATATAATTCATCAGAGTGAATGACATGAAATTAGGCATTTTAAATAAGATGGCGTTTTAGTTCGATTTAATCAATTGAAACAGATGTGTATGTTGTGTAAATAGTACACTAGTTCATGTTTTAATTTCCTAATGTTTATTTTTTTACGATTTAAATGATTTGTGTTTTGCTAGCTGAAGCATTACATTGCTAATGCGTTTTAGTGTTGTATACAATATCCCAACGAGAGAGTTTTTGTATTTTTCCCTTTTAGAGAGAGAGCTGAATGTTAATGCTGCACTTTCCTGCATTACATATCTTTGTTTTATCTCAGGTATGTTGTTTATCAATTTTTATATGTTATGTTTTTGAATTTAAGAAAATGTAGATTCACAGAGATCAGTGACTGTGAAAGAGAGAGAGCTGAATGTTAATGCTGCACTTTCCTGCATTACATATCTTTGTTTTATCTCAGACGGAGAGAATGAATCTAATTGAGTGCAATGTTGGATGGCTTCTTTTATTGAATCCAAGATCTGAGTTAATATGGACGGGTGTGTTGCTGATGGGACACCCGTTACATATACAGTAATTAATTATAAATCAAATAATTCAAATCACCTCTATATCCATACAAAAAGTGCAATAATTTAGTTGAAAAAATGTACATCAAACATGCCTTAAAGAACTGTTTTAGAAATAATAATAAAAAAGAATAATAAGGTTTAATGGTCACAAATTCTCTATCTGTCATTGTTGATTATGCTTGTGAAACTACCGAATCAGGCTGATTTTCACTCCCACTAGCCTGCTGATCTTGATTCAGAAGTGGCCTCATTTCATGTGATTCTGTTGGCCTCTGGCTCTGGTTTGTTTCCGTGACTGGAGGTTCCTCAGATCTTGCTGCATTCTGGGTTGAGGAAAATATATGTTATAATGTGTATATTCAACATGTCTGTAGCAGTTTTTCTCCATTCTGCTGCTGAAAACCTTTTCATTGGCAAGTTTAGAACATCTCAGCTGTCTCCCTGGAATTGATTTTTAAACTGCTTTAGAACCTTAGACTGTATTCCATTTTAGTTTCCATGGCAACACCTTAAGTTTTCATTTAAAAAAAGTGACAGCTTTGAAATTTTGGCAGTCACATTCTAAACTGTGAAGGAGTCTAGCAATAGACTTGGTCGGCCTTGTGTTATTGCTGGGGTGTGCCCTGGCGACAAAGTAAACCTATTGGCTTCCGTATGTCTATTTGGCAGTGTATAAAACTTAAGATCAGGGGGTGAACAATTTTACACAGCAACATTTCATTATAAAATCAAGCAGAAATCAATTAAATTTGGTCAAAGAGTGAAGATAAATTGTCCAACAAGATTTCATTCTAATTTCATTTAACAATTCATTCTAATTGGTTGTTTTACAGCAGTGACATTTTTGTGAGCATTACCATCTATGCCGACCAACTCTATGTCTGATCATGATGTTGCATAATCTTTAGTTCCCCTTCGGGGGGAACTTCAGCACTATAAGTGGATTTGATGTTCTAAATCTACGGATGGGAGGATTCGGTTCAGAAGCCGCTCGTCTGAAAGAGTATTGAACGGGCCCATGAAAGCAATGAATTGGCAGCGTAAGCTTGAGCAGGTGTGCTGCATTGTCAATTAACTGAGCATATAAGCACACCTGGCGCCAGCAAACGCTATACTTTTCGCTTCAGAGACTTTTCTGATCAAGTTCATGAGGGTTCCTCTTGCTGATCTACAGCCACATCGAGCGAACGAGTGTCTCCCGGTCCAGAGCGAGTCTAAGCAGCAGCAGACGGTTCTCCCTTGCCTGGCATCCCTTTGGGTCCGGTCCTCCAAGAGCGGTGCGTATTGCTGCAAAGCATCCTAAAAGAGCAACACAGTCGTGCAGCACGTCCTTTTCAGGATGGCGCTCCGACTGTGCGTTTCTGGTTGCGGGGGTTTCCTGGCTCTGGATGATGGGCACGATCACTGCATTACATGTTTGGGGGTCCAGCATGTTAATGTGGTGCTCGGGGGCGGTTCATGTCGTCACTGCGATGCCATGACCATCGCACAGTTGAGATCGCGGCTAGCTTTTGTAAGAGAGCGAGCCACCCCAGTCGCCTCCTGCTCTGCAGCGGGCGCTCGGGCAGATCTGATTCCAGCGAGAGATAATCCGACGCCTAAGGGCTCGCGGACCTCTCGCTCCACCAAGCGCTCCATCCAAGCTTCGGGCGTTGGGAGTGATCCGTCTAATCAGATGGTAGCTCTCACGCTCGATGACACCGGAGATCAGATGTCCTCCGCGGCATCGGAGGGTGGGCTTTTATTATCCGACGATGATCCGGACCCGCTCGCCCCCTCTGGGCAAGCAAGCGCCGTCAAAACGAATCCTGAAGCGGACATGTTGGCCGTGCTTTCTCGGGCTGCTTCGGCCGTCGGGTTGGAGATGGTTCATCCCCCAGCCCCGCGGCCGGACCGACTAGATGGGTGTTACGTAGAGGACCAAAAGGCGAAGCCTTTGAAGCCTCTTGTCCCCTTCTTCCCGGAAGTGCACAGTAGGCTCACGCAGTCCTGGAGGGCACCTTTCTCTGCCCGCACTGCGTCCGCCTCCGCCCTCACTATCCTGGTGGAGCTGCCAGGGGTTATGAGGCAATCCCGCAGGTGGAGCGCGCCACTGCGGTCAATCTTTGTCCGTGTGGCGCCCCCACTTTGCGCGGTCCGCCCCGTCTCCCGTCCAAAGCCTATAGGTTATCTGCCTCCCTCGGAGCTAAAGCTTACAAGGCTGTGGGCCAGGCAGCTTCCGCCTTGCACGCGATGGCCACCTACCAGCGCTGCCAAGCGTAGGCGCTGGCCGAGCTGCACGAGGGTGGGTCTAACCCAGGCTTGTTACACGAGCTGTGCACTGCGACCGACTATGCTCTCCGAACCACTAAGTTTGCCGCGTGTGCACTGGGGAAGACGATGTCCACACTTGTGGACCAGGAACGCCACCTCTGGCTAAACCTGGCAGATATGCACGATGTTGACAAAGTTCGCTTTCTTGACTTGCCCATATCCCAGGCTGGCCTGTTTGGCGACACCGTTGGTGAATTCACCCAGGAGTTCAAGGCGGTAAAGGAGCAGTCGGATGCGATGGGCAATGTCATCTATCGGCGGGGCCGTAAGCCCGCTCTGTCCCCTGCCGAGCCATCCACCTCTGCTGCTCCTCGCCGAGGGCGCCCGCCAACGGCCGATGCCCCGCCCTCCTGGTGAAGGGTGCAATCGAGCCGGTACCTCCAGCCGAGATGGAGAGCGGGTTTGAAAGCCCGTACTTCATTGTACCCAAAAAGAGCGGTGGGTCATGGCCAATCCTAGATCTGCGCGTTTTGAATCGCTGCCTTCACAAGCTGTCGTTCAGAACGCTTACGCAGAAGCGCATCCTCCAATGTGTCCGCCCTCAGGATTGGTTTGCAGCCATAGACCTGAAGGACGCGTATTTTCATGTCTCCATTCTTCCACGCCACCGTCAGTTTCTGTGGTTTGCGTTCGATGGTCGAGCGTGGCAGTACAAAGTCCTCCTCTTCGGGCTCTCTCTGTCTCCGCGGGTCTTTACCAAACTCGCGGAGGGTGCCCTAGCGCCTCTTCGGCTCGCGGGCATCCGCATACTCAATTATCTCGACGATTGGCTGATTTTAGCCCACTCTCGGGAGCAATTGACTGCGCACAAAACTGCAACGAGACAAGGTGCTCCGGCATCTTCGCCTATTGGGGTTGCAGGTCAACTGGGAAAAGAGCAAACTCGCCCCGGTGCAGAGGATCTCTTTTCTCGGAATGGAGCTGGACTCGGTCACCATGGTAGCGCGCCTCTCCGGAGAGCGCGCTCGCCTGCTGCTGAACTTTCTGAGGGAGCTCGACAGCAAAATAGTGGTCCCACTGAAATATTTTCAGAGGCACCCTCAGCCCCTGGAACGACCTCTCGTTCCTGCAGGCCGGTGTGCCTCTAGGACAGGCGTCCAGCCATGTTGTTGTCTCAACAGATGCTTCCAGCACAGGCTGGGGAGCCGTGTGTCGCGGGCATGCAGCTGCGGGCCTGTGGGTAGGTGCCCAGCTGCGTTGGCATATCAATCGCCTAGAGCTGTTGGCAGTGTTCCTTGCTCTCCGCCGTTTTTCTCCCGTGCTGGAGCAGCAACACGTGCTGGTCAGGACAGACAGTACGGCGGCAGCAGCGTATATCAACCGCATGGGGGGTATGCGCTCTCGCCGCATGTCTCAGCTCGCCCGCCGTCTGCTCCTCTGGAGTCACCCACGGCTGAAGTCGCTGTGCGCCATTCACATCCCAGGTATGCTCAACCGTGCAGCCAATGTGCTCTCACGGCAGCAGATTCACTCTGGAGAATGGAGACTCCACCCCGAGTCTGTCCAGCTGATATGGGCGTGATTCGGGGAGGCCCAGATCGATTTGTTTGCTTCCTCCGAGAATGCTCATTGCCAGTTGTTTTATTCCCTGACCGAGGGCACTCTCGGCACGGATGCACTGGCCCACAGCTGGCCTCGGAGCATAAGCAAGTATGCGTTTCCCCCAGTAAGCCTGATCATGCAGTTACTGTGCAAGGTCAGCGAGGACGAGGAGCAGGTTCTGTTAGTTGATATCAGAGCTCTCCCTCCTCGCGACGGCCCTCCCATGGCAAATCCCTTTGAGAGAGGACCTACTCTACCCTCGGCCCGATCTCTGGAGCCTCCACGTGTGGTCCATAGACGCGAGGAAGACTTAGGTAACCTGCCGCCCTTGGTGGTTGATACTATCACTCAGGCTAGAGCCCCCTCCACGAGGCGCGCCTACGCCCTGAAGTGGAGTCTATTCACTGAATGGTGTGTCTCTCGCAGAGAAGACCCCCGATCTTGCCAGATCAGTGTTGTGCTCTCTTTCCTTCAAGAGAAGCTGGATAGCAGGGTGTCGCCCTCCACTCTCAAGGTTTACGTTGCCGCCATCTCCGCTCACTATGACGCGGTGGCTGGCGGTACCGTGGGAAAGCATAACCTCATCATCCGGTTCCTCAGAGGCGCTAGGCGAATTAATCCAACTCGCCCCCCTCTCACGCCCTCTTGGAATCTCGCCCTCGTTCTCACAAGCCTGCGATTTGATCCCTTCGAGCCACTCGATTCAGTATCTTTAAGATTTCTGTCCCTGAAGACAGCTCTGCTGGTCGCGTTGGCCTCCATTAACAGGGTCGGGGACCTGGAGGCATTTTCGGTCAGTGACTCGTGCCTGGAATTCGGGCCGGATTATTCTCACATCATCCTGAGACCCCGCCCGGTTTATGTGCCCAAAGTTCCTACCACTCCCTTTAGAGATCAGGTAGTAACCCTGCAAGCGCTGCCCCTGGAGGAGGCAGACCCAGCCCTTTCTTTACTTTGTCCAGTTCGCGCCCTGCGCATTTATGTGGACCGTACTCAGTACTTTAGATCTTCTGAGCAGCTCTTTGTCTGTTATGGCGGACGGCAGCAGGGAAGTGCCGTGTCTAAACAACGATTATCCCACTGGATTGTGGATGCCATTTCATGTGCTTATTTGAGCAGAGGTCAGCCGCGTCCCCCGGGAGTGCATGCGCACTCCACTCGGAGCGTTGCATCCTCCTGGGCGTGTGCGCGCGGCACTTCTTTAACAGACATTTGTAGAGCTGCGGGCTGGGCGACACCCAACACATTTGCAAGGTTTTACAATCTGCGAGTGGAGCCGGTTTCCTCAAGGGTGTTAGAGACCTTTGGTGATTGAGGAAACAACTCGGTGGGTGTTGTACACGCTTGCGGTGCCTTTTTCCCTAACACGGAGAGATGTGCACCCTCCTGTCTGTCAGTAAAGTTCCCCTTTCGGTGAGCCTTGCAGATTCCTCCGAGGCCCCCAGCACTGACTCAGCGGAGGAGTCACTCGCTGGCCCACTACGTCAGGTCTGCCCGCTGGTCAGCCCGCAATTTTGGGTACAGGTGCCTGCTATGGCCGATCCCCTCTGGTGATCCCCATATGCTTTTTCCGCCACGGTTAAGTTCCCCCCCCCCTGGGTGGACCCGTGCCTTCGCTATCCGCTATCCACCTTCTTATGTGCACTCCCCCTTCTCAGGGTTAGTCCATATGTAATTCCATTTGTCTCCCTATTGGGTGCGGATGGTCTCCGCAGCGTCCTCCCTACTGGGATGGCACGCTTCCCAACGTACTGTCGTATATTCCTAGAAATTATCTAGACGCTAGCGACTCCCAAAAAAAATACCTATTCCGTAAAGCTTCTTTTGAAGTGGGGATAAGTTAGGGCCAAGGGCACGTTGGAGGACCGCGCCTCCTATGATTTGGGTGCGTCACGCTTGCCTGACTGCCCTCTCATGGTGGGTGTTGGTAAGGTGCAGTCATTATGGCGCTTTCAATGGGCTCCCATACGTGGATTTAGAACATCAAATCCACTTATAGTGCTGAAGTTCCCCCCGAAGGGGAACGTTCGAGGTTACTAAAGTAACCCTTCGTTCCCCGAGGAGGGGAACGGAAGCACTATACTCCATCGCCATAATGACTGTCCCTTAGCTGTTAAAAGTCTCTTCAGCTTAAAAAGGATGGCGTTTGCTGGCGCCAGGTGTGCTTATATGCTCAGTTAATTGGTGAAGCAGCACACCTGCACAAGCTTGCACTGCCAATTCATTGCTTTCATTGGCCCGTTCAATACTCTTTCAGACGAGCGGCTTCTGAACCGAATCCTCCCATACGTGGATTTAGAACATCAAATCCACTTATAGTGCTTCCGTTCCCCTCCTCGGGGAACGAAGGGTTACTTTAGTAACCTCGAACGTTTCTTGCAAAGACTTCAAAAAGACACAAATATTAACTTTGCTTTGTGTTTGAATCAAATGTCCAATAGCCTTTCACTTGTATTTTAGAAAAACCATGCACAAAAACCAGATTCAGCACAAAAAAAATAATAATAATAACAAATATATAAAGTAAAAACGCTTTAATGTTCTGCTGAAAAATGTCGACTACCTCTTCAATGACTACAGAATAATAATTTTGGGTGAACTATCCCTTAAAGAGTTTGATTATTTGGGTCAAGGTAAATAAGAGTTCAATTTAAACCATGCAGTTTTAAATATTGGGTATTGTTAACCTTACAAATGTTAAGTTATTTAAACTAAGTTCAGGACATCTTCAGATGAAGACAATTTTGACTCTTTTCTGATTTTACAGATTCACAGATCAAGGACCTGAAGTGATTTGTGTCAAATAAAGGACATAATCATAGTCTGATAAACTGATGTTTTCTAGAAGCAGATCTAAAAAATACAGATCATGTCTCTCCTTATTGTGAATTGATCAACATCAAATCAACAATTAACTGATACTGACCTGTGATCCAGCCGCTGGACTTTGATGAGACTTTATTGCCTTCTGTGTTCACAAAAATACATTTATTTTAAACAAGTATTTCCCATTTATTTATGCCTTTAGGACAGTTTCCTAAAGGTGCAAAAAGTATTTTTTTTCCACATTCAAAAATGTTCATGACTAAAAACAAGAGCAGTATTGTCACATCTATTTAAAGCCCAGCCAGCAGTCAAGAAACTATTTTATTGTTATATAAAGGTGTTTTCTTCCTTCTCATAGAGATTGCATTAGCTGATCACTGAATAATAATCACTTTCGAAAACTATTTGAACTGAAATATGTTATGCAAATGTCTAACAATTTTGATTACATCACAATAAAACTTAAATAATAAGTTAATTAACACACCTCTGCTCTCTTTGATTAAGAAATCAGCTCATCAAATTGACAAAGTAGAATAGTTTCTTCAAAAATGGGATTAGTTATCTATTATACGTTTGCCAGCATATATATATATATATATATATATATATATATATATATATATATATATATATATATATATAATCAAGCCTGATATTCTTAAAATTATTCATACTCCTGGCAAATACTTAACTGACTTAAAAATTTTTTAAAAATGTAAAAAATGATGTACATAGTCTTAATATCTTTTGGGAGAAGCCTGTGTCTTTCCCAGTCCAAAAAATAAATAAATAAATAAAAACTTGCTGGTTTAATAAAAGTAAATTTAAGTCTGGGGTGTGAACAATTTCGGGCTTGACTGTATATACACTCACCGGCCACTTTATTAGGTACACCTTACTAGCACTGGCTTGAACCCCCTTTTGCCTTAAACCTTTATGGTATAGATTTAACAAGGTACTGGAAATATTCCTCAGAGATTTAGCTCCATATTGACATGATACCATCACACAGTTGCTGCAGATTTGTAAGCTGCACATCCATGATGCGAATCTCCTGTTCCACCACATCTTAAAGGTGCTCTATTGGATTGAGATCTGGTAACTGTGGAGGCCATTTGAGTACAGTGAACTCAAACATCAAATCCACTTATAGTGCTGAAGTTCCCCCCGAAGGGGAACGTTCGAGGTTACTAAAGTAACCCTTCGTTCCCCGAGGATGCGAATCTCCTGTTCCACCACATCTTAAAGGTGCTCTATTGGATTGAGATCTGGTAACTGTGGAGGCCATTTGAGTACAGTGAACTCATTGTCATGTTCAAGAAATCAGTCTGAGATGATTCACACTTTATGACGGGGTGCGTTATCCTGCTAGTCATCAGAAGATGCTGCTCACTGGATATTTTATCTTTTTCAGACTATTCTCTGTAAACCCTAAAGATGGTTGTGCGTAAAAATCCCTGTGGATCAGCAGTTTCTGAAGTACTCAGACCAGCCCGTCTGGCACTAACAACCATGCAAAGTTACTTAAATTCCCTTTCTTCCCCATTCTGATGATCAGTTTGAACTGCAGCAGATCCACTTGACCATGTCTTCATGCCTAAATGCATTAAGCTGCGGCCATGTGATTGGCTGATTATAAATTTGCGATAACGAGCAGTTGGACAGGTGTACTAAATAAAGTGAAAAGTGAGTATATATATATATATATATAAAGAAAGAGAGAGAGAGAGAGAGAGAGAGAGAGAGAGAGAGAGAGAGAGAGCTTCTGGTGATTAGCAAAGCCTTTATTACTGAAATCATGTGATTTTTGCAATTTAATATGCTCTTTGAACCACTTAAAGCAAACATAAATGTTTTGAACTTTCATAAAGCAGTGTTTTTAAAGAGGTATCAATGGTATAAAGTATTAAGCTTTCTGTAATATTTCCACTGATTAAATATGTTACTGGGTGCACTTTTATAATGAAGTGAAAAAATAAACAATACATTGTGATTTGCATGATTTACAGATACTGACCTGACATGACTGCAGACATGTTTCGATCCCTGTGAATTCAGAAACAGAAAAAGAACATACATTTGCAGAATTAACCAGAAGCTGATCACATTAAACCAAACACACCAGATTAATGGTTAGATTAAGGAGTTAGACTAATGAGTCCTGGATTGAAAAAAAGTAATATAAACAAATACATTTAATCAAACATCAGTTCAATTAAACCTTCAAATGTTCAGTGCAGATACAACTGAAGGACTTTAATGGGGTGTTCAGAAATTGTTTACTGAAAACTAGAGGCTTTGCTTAAATACTGAACAAAATGTATTACTGTACGTGTAATCAGTCATAATTATAAAAACTGTAAAAATATCTCTGAAAATGTTACTAAAAACAAAAATAAAGAGTAGAAAAGTGCTGGTGAATAAGTATAAAGAATCTGCTGAATCTTACTTTAAACTGTGAGCTCTCAGTAAATCAAAATGAAGCTCAAGTGTGTTTGTCTTACTGTAAGTTAAACAACAGCTTACAATCAGTAAAACACACACAGTCTATAAATGAGATTCAGCAGTCTTCAAAATGCAAAATTGATAGTTTATTTTCTGAACATGATGCATATAAAAGAAGACTGCTCACATTTGTCATGCTTTTAATAGGAGATCCATTAAAGAAAATGAGAAACTAAATACATGGAGTGTGTGTTGTCAATCTAATTGTTATAAGTGTATTTCAGTTTGTACTCACAGGGTTCAAATACAAGCAGAAATATCAGCAATAATGTGAAGATGAATTCAGAGGAAGAGACAACAATTCTCAGATCTCCAATCGCACGTTCACCATTAACTGAAGAAAAGAAAATATTAGACATTTCTATTTTAAGAACATCTCCAAATATCATAATAAGAGTTTAGATTAATAGATTAGAGACGTTTTGAGATTTTGCTTCACAGAGAGATTATATTCAGACAGTGAATTAATATTCAAATTATGTATCTGTTTATATGATGCATATTTACTGCAAAACTTTGCATTTTATGTAACTTTGGATTTTATGTAAATAAATGAAATGTTTAGACACTCTGAATGCAGTTGAAGCCTTTTCTCACCTGTTTTCAGTATGAGTTCAGTCATCAGAGTAACAGAGGTCAGTAAAACAACAGCAACTGATCCAAACACATACACAGGAACAACACGAGGAAGATCTGTGAGATCAGAAAATACGGATTAATATCATCAATTACTAGTGCTGGGCAAAGATTAACCATAAATAATCCCAGGCAAAATAAAAGTTAGTCTTGATATAATAATAATAATAATAATAATATATGTGTGTGTGTGCTGTGTATATTTGTGTATATTTGTGTATACATGTATATTATGTATAAAACAGTATATAAAAAATCAGGTACAGAAAACGAATCTTCACTCACTACCATATAATATAATACATTTTTATATAATAAAAAGATATTAGGGATCAAATACAATATATTTTAATTTGAGCTTTATTGTAAATGTGTTTCTTAGACTAGTTGGAGATTGATTTAAATGTTACATTTATCTTAAAATCCTAACAAATGGCTTTATAAGACACATAGTTATAATAAAATAATAATTATGAAACAAATAAGTGTAGAATTTCACAATAACTAATTATTTGACTTTGATTGATTGTATAAAAATGACACAGTCACACAAATGATTGAGAGAAAAACACGAGAGTGAAATTTCAGCCTGAGGCACAGTGTTGCAAAATTTAATGAAAATATTAGCAAATTAACAGAATTAAAACTTTAACTTGTAAATAATAAAAGAGAAAATAATTTGTGAAAAGACAAAAATGTAGAGCTTAAAGTAGATCATAAGAAGAGGATCAGATACTGTACTCCATTTAAATGAGCGTGTGAAGTTGATCACTCCCCAGAGTAACTGCAGAAACGCAATCATACAGGCCCATCCAACACGATCTGAACATCAACAAACACACAAGATTTAACATCACTGAAACAGAGCATTTATACTAGTCTTAAACAACAAACACGTTTAACTTATTTAATAACATTTGCGTAATTATAAGATATGAGCAAACCTTTCAGTTCCTAATTTAATGTTAATTCATTTTATCATACCTTTTTCATTCTCCAGTGCTATGAAGGATACATAAACCGTTACAGCATTGATTAATAACAAGAGGATTAACCACACTGGTCTCCTGACTGAAGGTAAACCTGAAAAAACAAACTAAAATTAAATATACTTGTTTGACACTGATTGAATAAAAAAGCTAAATATAAACAATATATGATTTATATAGAAATTACAGAATGATGTTGTGGTTTTTTATATATTTATTTTAGGAATCAGATCATAATTCAGACACTTACAGCCCATCTGTTCTCCACATACTGAATCCCAGTTGTAATTTGTCACTGAGAAAACAAATGGTAAAACTGCAACTATGAAGAATCCTGAACACAGAAGAGAGATTACATTAACACAGATACTGAGATTTACTGACACACACATCAACAAATTCACATTTTCATGATTAATTATATATATATATATATATATATATATATATATATATATATATATATATATATATATATATATATATACATATATATATATATATATTTTTTTTTTTTAAAGAAATCAAATCAGTATCACTGGATATTGTCTTTAAAAATGCTGTTTTCTGTCATTTTGTACATTTTGTTAATCATATTTGAAAACATTGCAGAATTTAAGTAAAAACAATATAAATTCTGTTCTTTTTAAACAAATCTAAATGTAAAATAGGGGCAGCACTGTGGCACAGTGGGTAGCACAATCGCCTCACAGCAAGAAGGTCGCTGGTTCGAGCCTCGGCTGGGTCAGTTGGCATTTCTGTGTGGAGTTTGCATGGTCTCCCTGTGTTGGTTTCCTCTGGGTGCTCCAGTTTCCTCCACAAGTCCAATAACATGTGGTATAGGTGAATTGAACAAGCTAAATTTTCCGTAGTGTATGTGTGTGAATAAGTGTGTATGAATGTTTCCCACTGATGGGTTGCAGCTGGAAGGGCATCTGCTGCGTAAAACATTTGCTGGATAAGTTGGTGGTTCATTCCGTTGTGGCAACCCCAGATTAATAAAGAGACTAAGCCGAAAAGAAAATGAATGAATGTAAAATAAAACTGAAAATGTTTACACTAAAATGAAGGCCTTGTACACAGCCCAAATGTACTTTGGAACACACAGGTATATTTGCAATAGTCTAACACACACACACACACACACACATTTTTGTTGGGTCTTAAACTTCAATTGATTTTATGACTTTGCCACTTAACTGTCACAGTTAACTGTCAACTTAACTGTCACGTTAACCAGCGATCGTTCCCCATCGTTCTCACACAATAACCTTGGACTACACTTCTGCCCTTTCCTGGACTACATATTCATACATGCACTTCACCCAGACACCCATGCTCACTCATCTAGACTGATTACACTCGCAACACCTGAAGACTTTCAGAGACTGATTACATTCACTACATAAGCCACTCATTTACCCTTTCAGTTTGCAGAGTCTTGTTTTTCCTGTGATAACACTACAATGCGATTTCCCTGTCTTGTTTCTCCATGTACCGACCTTAGCCTAGTTAGCTCTACCTTGTTATTCTGTTTAGCCGCCTGCCTTACGACCTATTGCCTGTTTATACGACTACGATTCTGGACTGCCTGTTTATACCCGTTTGCACCTGATTTGATCATTGCTTGCCTGACACGAATAAACCTGCATTGTGGATCTTACCTCCAGTTGTGAGTGTCATCCCCCGTCGTTACAAACTGTCACTGTTTATTTATATATATATATTTTTATATTTACTTTTAGTTTAATAAAAAATACTGTTAGTTCATTTAGATTTATTTTCCATTTTATGTTGCAACATTAAAAACAAAAACAAAAAAGGCAAAATGTGTTTAATGTGTTGTTATCCAAATGGTGTGTGTTGCAGAATACAATATAGTTTTGTGTATGGATTGTGAGAATTATTTCAGTTTACACAAATATTTAACTAAACAAGTCACAAACAAGTCACAAACAAGTCGCAAACCTGTTAAGACAGCCTGATCTCAAGAGAAAACGTAAGTATTTTACGTTTTGCCAGTTTAGTGGCTAATTCGTACGAATTAGTACGATTTCAGTCGTACGAAATGATACGATTTTAAAAAGGAGGCGTGGCACCTAACCCCACCCCTAACCTCAACCGTCATTGGGGGAAAAGCAAATCGTACTAAATTGTACGAATTAGATCGTACAAATTCACACGAATTAGCCACTAAATGAAAAAGTTACGAATTGCCGTGAGATTGTGTTGGTTAAGACATATACTAAACCCTATTTTGATATCAGACCATTTATAGTTCTTTACTATCACTATGACAATTTTTCAATGCTTTTAACTATTTTGCAAAAATCTCAACGGAGTCAGCACAAGATCTGTCTGTGTAGGCTATACAATTAATACATTTCTTGCTGCTTTGACTCAAAATGCATTCCGTTAACACAAATTTAAAATGCTTTAATTTCTTTTACACACCAGCTCTACCAAGACAAAACTAGGCCATTTTTCTTTTGCAATGCTTTCATACTATACATCAGAACAGTTAACATCAGGATCTATAACTTTTAGGCTAAAGTCAAATTCAAAAGTTGTAAAGTGAAAAAAGCTCAAATACCATAACTGCTGAAATAAAAGCTGCTACACATAACAGATGATATAAAATAAACCATGGGCTATTATACAGAGTGAGCACAGCCATCTCGCCCTGGACACATTAAAGGCACCCGGGACAAAAACATTGTTTTTCTAAGAAACCAACAGGAACAGTATATTGTATTAGAACATCTAATTGCAAGGTGTACAAAACTTTACCCTGTTTTATATATTTTATTAATCAGGCATATAGTAATACTGTATTATATATTATATAGTTACTGTGTATGTTAATAAATTTTCTGACCTAAAGTGAGGACTATTTACGCTTTATAAAACCCTTATAAACGACAATTAAAGGCTTAGTATCAAATGAACAAGACATCTTAAAAAAGGATTATTTGCTAATGCTTAATAGATGATTCGTAGGGTGTTCCGATTACAGTTTTAAGAATCTTCAGAATGACAATTGTGCTCTCAGTGCACTCCAAAAACTTTTCAAGAAAGGTGACTTTTACAAGTAAAAATCTGTTATAATGTCAAAACATGGGGAAACCAAACATATACATTAAGGGTTTTAATTTATAAAAAGTAGGCATATCTGTACTGTATGTATATGAAACATTTCTGTAGTGTTTTGAGGATGAATGTTCAAAATTGTAAAAGTAATTCAAATTAAAAATACATTTTGTGTATATCTGTGAAATAAAAGTTTTACTTTATTATAATGAATACATTTCTTGTTTAATACTGAATAGTACATGAAAGTGAATTTACCTGCTCTTCCAGATTCAAAGGCGAAGAACAGGAGGATGAACTGAAGTGAGGGTAGAACATCAATGCAGATACTAGCCAGAAAATCTAATATAGTGTTTATCTGTTGGCTTATGTTCCCAATGAATCTAATTATCCCTGTATGAGACAAAAAAACAACAGATAATGATAGGATCTAAATGTTAGACTTAATGTTAAATGAATATCATGAAAATCAGTAAGTACAGAACAAAACAAATGTAATCAATTTGCAATTTAATTTGGACACACAATAATTCACCAATTTTAAATCATTGAAACACCTTACAAATCACAAATACATATTTAAACTTATTTGATGACCATACTCTTACTACTCTTACATCACACACACACACACGCTCTGTAACCACGGGAAGTGACACAAACAACTGAGGTGTGGATCCACATGCAGGTTTAATCAGTGGTCAGGCAAGCAATGGTCAATACAGTTACAAACAGGTATATGGAGACAGTCCAGAATCGTAATCAGTAAACAGGCGAGAGGTCAAAAGGCAGGCGGCAGACTAGGACAAACGGGCTAACAAGTCTAGGGTCAAAACACGGGAAAACAAGACTAGAAAACGCGTTGTAGTGTTACTTTACAGAAAACAAGACTCTGCAAACTGAATGGGTGAGTATGTGGTTTAAATAGTGTGTGCTATCAGTCTTTGACAATCCTAAGGTGGTGTGAATGTAATCAGTTTAGATGAGGAAGCATGTGTGTCAGGGCGAAGTGCATGTATGAATATGTAGTCCAGAAATGGTGGAATTGTAGTCCATAAGTTATTGTGAGGGAGATCCAGCGATCTATGGAGTAGTGATCGCTGGTGATTGTGACGCGTGCACACACACACACGCGCACATACACACACACACACACACACACACACACACTCTCTCACACACACACACACACACACACAAATAAAAGCATGATAGATACTGAAAAATACTGACACACTGACACTGATACCCAGAAATAAGCACACATTTAAAAAAGCACATATTGAAATACTGCATTACTGAGAATGGGCTGCGAGTTAAAGAACAAGGTTTATTTATCTTGCCATTGGTGTGTTTTTTCCCTGACAAACATAGTGTCTTAAACTCTTTAGTTAGTCTAAAGTTATATGATCAGAATAACATGATCTTGGGCAACTGTGTCGGAGCTTGATTCTCAGCTTTCATGTGCTCACTGACCTCACTGATCTCTCCCTCTCCTGTGCTTTCCTGTGTACTGTCTACTTTCCTTTCAAATAATAAGCCCCTCAAATTTGTAGATATAAATACATTTATTTTATTTTATTTTATTTTAAACTGGGGTCTGGGAACCCTCTAAGGCAGGGGCATCAAACTTAATTCCTGGAGGGCCACAGCCCTGCATAGTTTAGTTCCAGCCCTGCTTCAACACACCTATCTGTAGGTTTAAAACAAGCCTGAAGGACTCCGTTAGTTTTATCAGGTGTGTTTAATTTGGGGTGAAAATAACTGTGGAGAGCTGCGGCCCTCCAGAAACTGAGTTTGACACCTGTGCCAAAAGAGATCAAAAGGGAGTTTGTGGAAATCTTTGTGGGAAAAATAGAAGGTTTATTATTATTATTATTTGTATTATTATCTATAAAATGTTATTTAATAAATAACATTTTAATATTTTAATAAATAAACTGTCACGGAACAAAATCAAGGAGAGGTTTTAGCAGTTTATTTCAAGTCTTTTAATAATAAAAAGTCAACAAAGGCAGTCTGTCGTTAATTCAGAGAAAACACAAAGCTGGTTCTTCACAAAACGAAACTCAAAGGGGCCACCCACAGCCGGGAGCGAGAGAGAGGGAGAGAGCAGATTGGTCCGTGCCCACCACTGCGATGCGGGAACTTCTGACCTCCTGGTGCTGATGGTCTGAGCACAGTCAACAGGTGAGCAATATTTCAGCAGGCTGCGGCAATCTTATACATACAACAAGGAACACAAGAGGGTGATTTACAACGAGACTGGATAAGACGAGACAAATGATGATAAGA